TTATTAGTTTGTTTATAGTGTGATAAGCCATAAAACAGGCAAGGAGAAGTATAAATTGTTCTGCTAATTGAGATTGTATTTTAATAGAGAATGAAGAGGCTCTTTTGAATGTGTGGTAAAAATGTAGACGGATTCTTTGTAGGGCCATTGGATGCCCATATCCTGAACACAAATAGAGAGATTGTAGGTTGCATATTGCTGGTCAGAGATCTAGTTTTATATTAGCTATGTCTTATTTTTCTTTTCTCCATTTTCTGCCATAAATAATATGAGCACATATGCAGCTGCTTCAGTTTAGGCTAGTATTACTCTGGCACAATCCAACATGGTTTAAGACAAGGTAGGATACCTTTAATTATCCAGATATTTTGGAATGCAGCTTGCATAGCCTCACCTAGCAGGTACTCTGGGAGCTTGAGGGTAAAACTTCCACAGGGTCATACTGTAGGCTCCCACCCTCATTTTAAGAGAAGAACCTTTTAGGACTGCTTGGCAGAAAAATAGGATTCAGGTGCTACCCGTGCTAATTCGGGATTAGAAAAGGCAGTAGACATTAATTCTTTTGTTTCTGTACAGTTCCTCATTTGTATCTTTTGGAAATTCAGACATCCTTTTAAAATGGAGGTGCCACAAAGGTGAAAAATGTAGTCAATCTCTGAAGAAGCAATGATAATTACCAAGGAGTACAAGAAAATATAATAGGCTCAATTATATTTTATTGAGCACATACCAGAATGTAGAAAGAAAACAGAATGGTGTTAGCTCTGTATAAATTTCACAGTTCATGAGGATGTATATTCTGAATCTTTAGGTCTGCTGTTACCAAACGGTTTGAACATGTGTGTGCTGAAATTTTAAAGTCAGTAACAAAATTTGTTTTGATGCATTAGGCCTGTTTTGTCATATCCTTAGTTACGCTGGGTGCACATCTGATCCTTGTATGGTAGTTAACCTTGTAGTTCTAGATAAACAAATAATGGAGTAAATTACTTCCATCTAAGGAGCAAATAATTCAAGATGGTGTTTAATTACAGTAACTGACAACTTTTAACTCTCTGTTAGGTCTGTTCCCACAATAGATAGACTACACTGTTTGCATAAAAAGCAGTCAGGATCTACTGAGATGACTAGGTAATCAACAGTATATCTGCAGAATTTCTGGCTCTGCCACTTATAGCAGTCAAAAGGCTCCTTCCCCTTCTAAATTAGATTTAAATTACAGGAACCTATTGAGCAAAGGGACCAGGATTTTTCTGTGGAAGGACTGTGTACTCAGTTCTGATACTAAAACAGCTCAATTGTTTTGGCCATGTGCTGAGGAATTTTGTTCTTTAATTCTGCATATGTCTGGCTGAGCACAATCTTTCACCTCAGGTCGCTGGATCTTGATGTTCTAGTGCTGTGGTTGCTTAAAGGTAGGTGAGCATTCTCCAGCTGGTGCGTCCCAGAGGTTCTGGACTATTATTCTCATGAATCTGACCTGAGTGGCAATTATCCATGCTGGCGGGGGCTGTTTGGAATATAGCCCACCGCCTCTGAGGGACACCTGGTTGGAGAAGTCTAGAGCAGATCTGTCTGCCCCGTCTTTGTTGGCATAAGCAAACACTCAGAAGACAAGGAACTAATCTTACCTCTTGTGAGTTTTCCTTTAGAACTGCAGATTTTTAAAGAACCACCTATCATTTCCCTTGCAAAACTGAGCAATTGTATGATCTGTGGGTTTTGGCTGCTGTTCAGTTGTTCTCACTGATGTGGGCAATGAACAGCATGTTATCTTTTCTAGTTGGCACTCTGATTCCAAATTCATGGGTTTCCTCCCTTTATTGCTATACCATCTGATTTTGTCATTTTTTTTTAATAGATTGGATTGCTGCCTGAGTATACATTACCACCTGTTATGCTATATCATTAATATTGGTTTGGAGTGTCAGTTATGGGAAATAGTTTATACAGTCACCTCCCATTTACTCATTTCTTGCCATAACTAGCCACTTCCTTCCATCATTACACAAGGATGGATAAGAAAGCTTCCTTGTCCAATTCAGATGGCCAGTGACCAGGCTCCCTGGATATGCTTAATCTTGATAGGTTTCCATGCTTAGAGCACTTAAAACAGGAGACGAGCAACTCGCAGAAGGAAACTCTAGCCCATCATGGTTTCACTGAGGGATGCAAAGCAGTATACTTACGATGGAGTAGCACCAACGGAATTCATGAGGCAGCTTGTGTTGGGAGGAGAGTGGATTGAGGAGCTTGCAAGCTAGGTTTGGGATGCTGGTTACCTGGCAACTCTAATTAGGACCAAAGAGCTGTCCTAAAACTTTTTGTGATATGTGTTCTCCCTTAAAGCTATGTTTAGTTTTTGCCTTGGTGCGAAAAACTGTGTGCTGTGACTTGGAAATATTATTTAAAGGATTTCCTTGAAAAACACTACTGAACATGCCTACAGTATGTCCCCTTGGGAACATCTAAGGTAGTTCTGTATATCTGAAATTAATCATTTTTGCTATCTGTGATGATGAAGAAAAACATGAATACTTCTGGAAAATTCATGAACATGTTGGAAATCTGAATAGGGCTGAATGGAGCTTCCAGTAGTCAAGGAATAAATCTTAAAACTGGAAAGATACTTATCCCTTCAGTTAAGATGCTCAGCTAAGTGCTTGTGCATACTTGGTGCCCTCTTTTGGTTCAGTAACACTGTTCTTGTTTCTGTTACTCATGTGTAACATCAGGCATTCATCCCGCTTAGCCTTACTGAAGGAAAGCATCATAATAATCATCACATCAACAACACCTTTTATTGTGATAGTAAACATCATAAGGGCATGCTTATATTGTGTCTGTCTTTTCTGCCTACGATGTAGACAATTCAATACCAATTTTCAATGCTTTATTTTCAGCTCCTTCTAGAACTGCTCCCAGTTGGCCGTTTCTTATACTGACCAGTGTCACTGTGCTCTTTATACACAGCCTAAATTTTATGGAAGTCAGTTGCAAGTATTCCTGCTGCTGTCATTTATGTAAAATTTGGTTCCACTCTCATCAAACAAATGCTGTCAAAAACCAAAGGCCATGAGGATAGTTTTTGTGCACTGTGTGATCCCTAGAAACAATCTTTCAAATGCTCTCTCAACCAAAGCAATACTAGGAAGACTTCTCAGTGCACTTTTTACTAACATGAATGAGGCAGAGGACCCTGGATTAAAGAGAACATGTTAAGGTCAAAGACATAAGAGCTTTGGGGGTTACTTTTAAGGACTCAGGCAGCAGCTGTGATGGGTTAAGGTCATTTCTGAAGAGCCAAATACCCATGAGAGAGACTTTGGTGCTTAGATGAACCTCTTTGAAATAATACTATATTTAATTTCATCAGAGATCACCCCCACAAAAGCCAGTTTACAAGCTAATGCTGAATGAACATATTATTAACTTCTCAATCTCTGTTTAGATGCGGTACTGCTTTTTCCTGATAAGTACTTTTTGTTTGCATCTTGAGCTACAGAGCTATATACAGCACATACAGTGGTGCCCCGCATAGCGACGTTAATCCGTTCCGGATTAATCGTCTCTATCCGAAATCGTCGCTAAACGGAACTAAAAACCCCATAGGAACGTTTAATGCATTCCTATGGGGCCCAAACTCACCGTTCAGCTAAGATCCTCCATAGCGCCGCCATTTTCGCCGCCTCGGTAAGCGAGGGCAGCGCGCGGAAATGCTTGCGGCGGCCATTTTGGGCACCCGGCAGCCATTTTGGAACCACCGATCAGCTGTTCTAAAAACATCACAATGCGAAGATCGTTAAGCCTTGTTCTAAAAACATCGCAATGCGAAGATCTTAAGCCTAACGCTTGCATTTTGGAACCACCGATCAGCTGCCCATTCAGAACATCGCAATGCGATCGCATTAGCGATCCAAAAAAATAGATCGCTGTGCGGATTCGTCATTAAACTGTGCGCTCGTTATGCGAGGCACCACTGTATATTGTACATAAAGCATACAATATATATTGTGAACCTTCCTGTGCTTTTAATTTGACCATGTTCCTTCTTTTTCTTTTTCTACATTGTCTTTCAGCATTTGTCATCATGATAATTTTAGCCCTCCTTCGCATTGCCAGAGGCCAAGGAGAAGGTCATCCCCCTCTGGCCCAGATCTCAGGAATCCGCAATCTCTTCGGGGTGTGCGTTTATTCCTTCATGTGCCAGCACTCTCTGCCATCCCTCATTACTCCCATCTCCAAGAAGAAACACGTTAACAAGTTGGTCCTGCTGGATTACATTTTAATCTTGGGTTTCTACAGCCTCCTGTCCTTTACTGCTATCTACTGCTTCCGCAATGAAAGTCTCATGGACATGTATACACTGAACTTTACGAACTCTGAAATTGTCAATATTGCTTTTATCCGCTACTTCCTGGGCCTCTTTCCTGTCTTCACCATCAGCACCAACTTTCCTATAATTGCTGTGACTCTCAGAAACAACTGGAAGACGCTTTTCCATCGAGAAGGGGGAACTTATCCATGGGTAGTAGACAGGATTTTTTTCCCAGTCATCACACTAATTCCCCCAATAATTGTGGCTTTCTGCACCCATGATCTGGAATCCTTGGTGGGTATTACTGGGGCTTATGCTGGAAATGGGATTCAATACATCATCCCTGCCTTCTTAGCATACTGTAGCCGAAAAAACTCTCAGCTGGTCTTTGGGAGTGGCACAGTGAATAAACATTTATCCCCTTTTCGGCACATATTCTGGATTGGATTTGTCCTACTCTGGGCTCTTTTTTGCTTTATGTTTGTGACTGCAAATATCATTCTGAGTGAAACAAAGCTCTGATGTTGCTGTGGAACCTGAAGGTGACTTGAGACTTCTGTTCCAGGTCTTGTGCTTGGAAAGGACATTTTTAAACAGTCAGCTAACACAGTCTTGAGCTGGATGCTCATTTTACCCATTGGGCTGTACTGCTATTTTTTTCAGACCTTTTTGATTCATAATTTCCATTCAGTGTATAATGCTGTGGGCATGAGCACTCCACCAGGCTACTGTAGTTGCCCAGTATCTTACCTTTTGCCTTGACCACAGATTCCCATAAAGCTAGTCTGCTTCTCTTGTGCTGTGATGTCAGGAGCTGACCAATAATGCATCTCTTTTTCAAGATTGATTGAAAGGACCTAGGACCTGCATAGCTCTTACCAGCCAAGCAGGCAGCCACTGAATCAAGGAAGAAGTAAGGAATTCCGTGCTCTCTCCACTTTCCCTCTGAAGATACTTACTTTTCTTCCAACTGGGGAGGGTGGGGGAGAGAAATCAAGAGAAAAAGTAATGGCATCGGCTTTAACTAATAATTCCCTCTGAAGATACTTACTTTTCTTCCAAATGGGGAGGGTGGGGGAAAGAAATCAAGAGAAAAAGCAAGTAATGGCATCGGCTTTAACTAATAACGATGGACACAGTTGGGTAAAGCAGACTTCATAACTGTCAACCTGTTGTGTTGTGTGAATCAGGGGAAGATGAGAGCAATGCCACAGTAGTTGTTTTGTTCACTGTAATACACACCCATTCCCTCCCTCGGTGTTTACTGATTCTCATTTCTGTTACAGCTTTTTCAATACATGTTTACTCTGTGGTAGGTGATGTGATCCTTGGGATCAGACTTGGACGTGGTGTTGTAGGTTTAAATGAATTAATTGCTTTTATCTGATAAATATTTTGTTGCTCTTCATTTTTGTCTCAGGTTTCCCCTCCCCAGTTGTTACAGACATTCTGTCGGTGAGAATGATGTGCTGTTAAGAACTGTGAACTGGGTGGCACAGAGCACTCCCTGTGATAAGGGATAATAGGGGATGTCTTGCTGCAGCTATTTTGCCCCAGTCCTCCATTTCACACTAGTACAGTTGAGCTGGCCCAACTAAAACACTCATGTTTCCTTGGATCTCAAGGTGCTAATTACTTGCTGAATATGTAACACATGAAAGAAACAAAGGAATGTCATTGGTTTCTTTCAGGTTATTTAAGCTGTGTGATTCCAGATCTGAAGAGGGGGACCTAACTTTCCTCGTGTAGAAATGGTATCAATAAACATAACCAGAGAGAATAAAATCCACAAAGAGAAGCAAAAAGGAAAAGATTCCCTAAAAACTGTTGCTTTCTATCTGGATGTAGAGACAACAGGTATCTCTTAGTGCTAGCCAACATCCCAGGAGAACTAAATCTCATGTCCTAATAAATATTGCCCTGTACATTTCATGTACTTGGAATGAACAATACAGTACATTTCCTCTCCCGTCAAAACTGCTACATAACAAGAATGAAAAGCGTGTGACCCTCAAAATTATGTTGGACTGTGGTTCCTGTCATCCCTCACCATTGGCTGTGCTGGCCACAGATGGGCATTACCAAAATCGCCCCTTGCACTGGGCATTACAGCCCCATAGTCTCTCACTGTCACTTTTCCCTCAGCCAAGCTATTGTGTTACGAGTGAGAGGGAGTAAGGTGCTGGAGAGCGGCAAGTGCTACATTCATTAGCAGTTCCCAGTGCACTCTTGTTTTTTAAATCTGCTGCCCAGGCAACTTCCCAACTTCATGCATGATGGTGAAGATTTGGATTTAAAGGCCTGGGCTGCATGTAGTTTGAAGTCATAGTCTTTATGTATAATGAGTATCTCCCAAGCAGTTGTTGGCTGCCATTCAGTAATGAAGTCACAAAAGTCATTTAGCCTTAGGAAGTGTTGGGGGAATCACAAATATTTTAATATGAAGATAATTTTTATTTTGTTTCCTTTTCCTGTAAATATGGCTAAAGTTGTATTTCCTTTGTTTTCTGTTATTAAATTTCCTCTTCAAAACCCCTGGATTAAGCTTGCCTTGCTGTGTTATTAAATTTTAATTTTCACCAAAGCAAGCACATAAATTCAGTGGTGTTTTTAAAAAATATTGTCAAATATAATTAAGAAAACTGAAGAGCTTTTGCTACAGAAATGGATTAGCAAAGGTTTTTTAAAATGAAAGACAGCAACTTTTCTCTTTCTACAATAAAACCTGGTGATATCCCCTATTTTCTTGATCTCAAGCTGTACTTGGCAGCTCTTCCTGTTGCAACAGAGAGAAACGTATCCAGCCCAGAAACCTTGCAGCTATTTGATCCTCCTCCTGCAGAAGAGGTTACTGAGAGCACTCTGTGAGTAGATGTGTGAAGAATAGTAAAGGCAAACAAAAGCTGCAGAGAAAGAAAGAAAGAGGTTATGTCCATTGTTCATTAGAAACAGGAACTGTTTTTACTATTATTAAGTTTAGCAATCGCTTCTGTCTTTCATGGCTGTTATTACATTATCTCTGATTGGAAGTGGAAGAAATCACAGATGGCCATGACAGAGTTAGCCCAATTTGGCCTTGTGCACTATGAGATAGACGGAAGATTGGCTCAGGGCTGACATTTTAGCAGCAGTAAAGGTGCACCTGAGAAGTGCTTTGTAAACTAATTGGAATTGATTGGGGCAATCACCTTTTCTTTGACCATAAAATGTGCTGGATAATACAAATACCACATTATCTGCAGTTCTATGGAGAGCTTACAGAGTATTTTTTGTCTCTGAAGAACAAATGGGTGAGTTCACATCTTCAAACACTTTTCTCCTCCTCCCTAATTCATTTGGTTTTCCTTCCTGCCACTCAGCTGAGAAGAACTTTTTTGTACGTGATAGCTGTCATGTCTTAATGTGTATTGCATGGAGTATTGGCAATGGAATTGAGCCAGAAGAGAAAATGTACAGATTGCTGCACTGGAGTAGCAGTGCTTAGTTTACAGCCAGACAGCAAGCTAAATCTGCGACTTCACCAGCTACTCAGGAGTTCTGTTGTCTTGAAATTACCTAATGGTGTTTATCAAAGCACAATTGTTTCAATTATCTGCCTTTTATTAGAAATGCACTGTCATTGGTAGCCTTGGCATTCTCACCACCCAGCTCTTGCATTCTTGTCTGTGATTTCCCCCTACTTCCTTTCTCTAAATCTAATACAGTATATATTACATTATGCACCTTTTTTTTGACTTAGATGATATTGTTTCCTCCTGAATGTTGCTCCAAAGGTTATGAAACATGAAGTGGCGGCTATTCCGCTCTACATTTCAGAATAAAATTTTACATTGCAGTTAGGGATAGCTTTCTTTCTGCATGAGTAGGAAGAAAATTTTTCACATGGTTCAACAATGGTGCCTTCTTGTGAAGCTCCCTCACTCTTGTGGGACTTCATTTCTTTTTTGAATGTTTAGAACTGACGTAACTTCCCAGGTGCCTGCAGTGTGTAAGAAGTGAAGGAATCTACCTTGATTAATGGTGGGAAGTGTACAGCAGGAGGGGAACTTTTGATACTCATGTTCAAAAAATGCCTTAATGCATGAGAGTTAAGTGGATCAAAAATGTATCTGCATTGACTTTTATTTTTAAAGTGCCAGCAGGATTGGGTAGTGGTGGGATCCAGGACTCAACCTGGCTGACTATGATGCGGTAGCTGATATTTTTTTCCTCATTTTGTTTAACATGTGGTAGCATTTTTAATTGGCTATTGTAATGTTACAATATTTTCTCTATGGTTCTTGGCTGTACAGTGTCCTCGACTTGTCTCCACTTGTGATTATTTTTCAGAAAGGCATAAAAAATAAATGTAGATTATGCATCTGTTGTGATTTGGCCTTTTCCTGCATGCAATAAAGGAGATAATGTTGAATTGGTTTCTGTTGACGGATCAATTGGCAGGAGCAGCGGGAGGGGGGGGAATGGGAACCACTGTCAGAGAGGGCAGCCATGCTGGCAGTGGTTCATGAGGTAATTCTTGCCTTCTCTTGTCCCTCTGTATTAGCCTCCTGCTTCCTGTAGCACTAGGTGTTCTCTGAAAACTCAATTAAAACAGCTGCACCTTACCCATCTCAATTACATTTCCTTGCACTTAAAAACTAAACAAATTGAATCATTTCACTGCCTCAGGCAGCCAATGAAGTTTCTTCTGGCAAATTTATTATCATCATAAAACACAGCATGATTTATGTTAAAATATTAAAAGGTATCTTTATGATGGAAATAAACATTCCTACTTTCTCCTTCTATGGTTCCTCTGCTTTTTCTCTCTCTCCTCTGAAGAATTTAATCCCCCACCACACTGGACTGTAAATCTGAAATAAAAGTGGTGCTATGTGAAGGAGAGATAGGAAAAAGAGAGAAGGAACAGAGTGAGCCGTCCTCACGAATAGAGATGTCGGAGAGAGGAGAGAGGGAAATAATAGAACGGGAAGAGTTGATTGTAGAAGAAAGAGAAGAGAACATTGAAATCTGTCTGGTGGAGGAGGGAGAAGGAGAAAAGGAGGAGGAGTTAATTATAGCAACATGGGAGGAGTGAGGGAGAGCTGAAAGGGGGAGGAGAGTTTTTAGTATATCCAGGGGAGAGAGAAGGAAAGAGGAGAAAAGTAGAGAGAAAAAGGTGAACAGAGATATGAAAGAGTGTGTGGGTTATTAGAAGATTTCCCTAACTGGAAGGTAGGAGGATTACTGCCTGACCGCGACTTGTCAAGGGGAAAGGGAACATCGAGAGAGGCACTAGAATGGACAGTTGTGGTCTTTCCGCAGGGACCAGGTCACTTGAGGAAGGTGATCCAACCAGACCAATCCTTCAGCCAAACACCACCGGAGGGAGATTGGGCCAGACACCCTTGTTGCAGGATAATTTGCGTGGTTCGGAGTGCTGCAATGAGGAAACCCACCGACCAGGAACGTTTTGGACCAGCTCCTCAATGAACCTTGCCAATTTACAGATGGAGTTCTCGTCTTCACACTTTGGACAGTTGCCAGATCTCACTTGTTTTGAACCCATAGAAGTTGTTGTGGAATCACCAAATGTTAAACCAAATAAATCTGTTAATATTTCAAAAGAGGCTCAGTTGTCATTTCCCACTAAAAGAGAGGAGCTGCTTCAAATTTCTAACGAACCTGATCACACACTAGTGCTGAAATCCATTGTTTTTCCATATTTCAAAGACCACGAGAGGAAAGAACCATCCTTAAAGTATGATATTTGGGTAAAGGGTGTCACATTTGGGGAGGGGGGAGGGGAGGGAAGAGAAAGTGGCCAGAGGAGCAGAATTGTCAATATTTCACCTGTACTTTTATACTGGTTACACTGAAGCTTGTGGGAGTTGAAAGGTGTCAAATGTTAACATGGTTTGGTGGGTCAACTCCCTAGTGTGTTCTACAAAATTTCTGGGTGTAACAGGGGAGGGAAGAGAAAGTGGCCAGAGGAGCAGAATTGTCAATATTTCACCTGTACTGTTATAC